GGTCAAATTTTACTCTTTTTTTTTTTATAATGAAGAGGTCAAATGTACTGGCACAATTATTTTCCCACATTTATTATTTAAAAAAAAAAATAATTTTAATTTGAGAATAGGTCTCGTCAGCCGGCCGTTTGGTCCAAAAATAAAAGTGACCTATAAATCAGGGGTTCTTACTGTGAAGCAGGGGCTGGGGAAGACCCCGAAAATTGGTTTTATTCGCATTTTATTATCTTGTTCAAACGTGCGGGGTGGGGGCGGGAAATATGTTATGAAATCAAGAGGGGTTGCAGCCCCGCAAAAAAAGATTAAGAACCACTGCTTTGTATATATGTGCTATCTGTTGAAGAATGATTGTGTCTGAAAGACAGGTTTCCAGTTGGCTCCTGGAGGAAAGCTCATCTTTAACATAAGTAAACGGCAGAGAGAGAGAGAGAGAGAGAGAGAGAGAGTGAGAGAGAGAGAGAGAGAGAAAAGCAGAGAGAGAGAGAGAGAGTAAAGATAGAGTAGAGAGTATATAGAGAGTAGAGGTAAGAGTAGAGAGAAAGTAGAGAGAGAGAGAGTTGAGAGAAAGAAAGAATAAAGGGAGAGAGAGTAGAGAGACAGAAAGAGTAAAGATAGAGAGAGTAGAGAGACAGAGAGAGGGAGTTGTCAATGAGTACAATGATGTCAACGCTCTTCTTAAACTAGAAACAATTAAGACATGTCATGATAGCAGGCTGAGGTCTGAATGGCTGGAACTGGGGGACTGTTGTCTCCAGAGAAACGCTTAGTCAGTGATGATATTATAATTATAGATTACAGTTACAGAACAAATTTGGTTTGTCTGAAAAGTCTTCTTCAGAGTCGGGATCTTAACTCTCGTCAATAGCGGTTCTCGGATTGCTGAGATGTACTGGTCCACAGATAAGAGGGCTTTTCAACCCAATGTTCACTAAAGCTGCAAAAGCCAAGGCTTTTTCGAGAGATATTATTCTTAAAATGAGTTGCAACACTCTGGCGATGTTCACGGGAAATGTTCGTTAATTTACAAATAATTTTGTGTACACTTACCAAATCCAGCTGAATGGCTTGCAATCATTCAGTTACTGGTTCCAGTATCGCTGAGTTTGTGAAGATAATCCGCGAGAAATGTAGGCGAAGAACATGAAGACAATAGCTGGTGAGAGGTGAAGAATATGAAGACAACAGCTGGTGAGAGGTGAAGAATATGAAGACAATAGCTGGTGAGAGGTGAAGAATATGAAGACAACAGCTGGTGAGAGGTGAAGAATATGAAGACAACAGCTGGTGAGAGGTGAAGAATATGAAGACAACAGCTGGTGAGAGGTGAAGAATATGAAGACAACAGCTGGTGAGAGGTGAAGAACATGAAGACAATAGCTGGTGAGAGTTGAAGAACATGAAGACAACACCAGGTGAGAGGTGAAGAACATGAAGACAATAGCTGGTGAGAGGTGAAGAACATGAAGACAATAGCTGGTGAGAGTTGAAGAACATGAAGACAACACCAGGTGAGAGGTGAAGAACATGAAGACAATAGCTGGTGAGAGTTGAAGAACATGAAGACAACACCAGGTGAGAGGTGAAGAACATGAAGACAACACCAGGTGAGAAGTGAAGAACATGAAGACAACACCAGGTGAGAGGTGAAGAACATGAAGACAACACCAGGTGAGAGGTGAAGAACATGAAGACAACACCAGGTGAGAGTTGAAGAACATGAAGACAATAGCTGGTGAGAGTTGAAGAACATGAAGACAATAGCTGGTAAGAGGTGAAGAACATGAAGACAATAGCTGGTAAGAGGTGAAGAACATGAAGACAATAGCTGGTGAGAGGTGAAGAACATGAAGACAATAGCTGGTAAGAGGTGAAGAACATGAAGACAATAGCTGGTGAGAGTTGAAGAACATGAAGACAACACCAGGTGAGAGGTGAAGAACATGAAGACAATAGCTGGTGAGAGGTGAAGAACATGAAGACAACACCAGGTGAGAGGTGAAGAACATGAAGACAATAGCTGGTAAGAGGTGAAGAACATGAAGACAATAGCTGGTGAGAGTTGAAGAACATGAAGACAACACCAGGTGAGAGGTGAAGAACATGAAGACAATAGCTGGTGAGAGTTGAAGAACATGAAGACAACAGCTGGTGAGAGTTGAAGAACATGAAGACAATAGCTGGTGAGAGTTGAAGAACATGAAGACAACACCAGGTGAGCATCTAGTCACGTTTTACCCGTATCATTTATCGCCTGATTCTTAAAGAAATGCAACAATGCTTTTATATTGTATCGACCACTGAGTTTCACAGAACAATGCAACAATGCTCTTATATTGTATCGACCACTGAGTTTGACAGAACAATGCAACTTTAGGTATTAACGACTTTCACTTTAGGCTTTCTAGAGGAAAAAAAACAACTTGATTGTACCAATGGCATTACACACTTGAACTTCTGAATTCAAAGCATTAATTACCCACCAAAGTGAACCGATGGGCAGAGATAGAAGAATAAGCCTTGCCTGAACCCCACCTTCCTTTCTTGCCTTGGTGGAACAGCCGTCATATCCTTGTCCAATTAAATCTCGTCATGTCCAGACCACAGTGATTTCAGTGTTTCTTAATAGGATATGTGATTGCAGATGCCACCATTTGCTTCAGTGGTTTGTGCCCGATAAATTCTCCACAAATTTTAAATTCACTCTCTGAGTAGTCTACAAAACGTGACGCCGACGGCAATTTTTCTGTTCCTGATATATGAACTGTTTCATCGGCTGATAGCGAGAATCCTAAAGATTTGTTTACTGATGTAATACTTGTATTATTTATTGCTTCCTCACATATCTCTATCAGTTTATTGTGGACCCTGTGAGAAATATAACGAGCATTACCAACGGACGTCTGCAAGTGTGTCTCCAGGTCTCTGTCGCCAGCCTCCACTCTAAACTGAAACAGATCATGTACATTTCAACTGACAATTTCAATTTTTGGCACCAAATGCGATGTCGTGTGTAGAAAATGATTGGGAATAATATCAGGAAAACAAATTTTATGAGAAATACACTTGTCTTTTTGAAAAAAAATTATGTCGGTCTGGATTCCTATTGATGCTCAAGAATGCTGTTGTTGTTGTTGTTGGTCCGTCGAAATCGACTAGGACCATCGCGTCATCCGGTTAGGGGGAGGGTTGGTTACGGTTTGCTCGTAGGTGGCTTGCTAGACCTATCCGTCCTCGGAATAATCTATGGCACCGCGGGCAGGGGATAGTTGCTGCAGACGGTGAGCAAATGTTGCTTTTTTGGGCCAGCCTGCGTGTCTCAGCTGTGGTTATCCTATTAGCTTCATGGGATTTAGCCCCCTTCTTGACATCTGCTCTCCACCTGGCTCTGTCCTGGGCTGTCAGCACCCATTGGGTAGGGTTGATGCTGAAGGCCTTTAGTGCCGCTTTCAGTGAGTCTTTGTAAGGCTATTTTTGACCTCCTTATGAGCGCTTGCCTATTGTGAGTTCTCCGAAGAATATCTGTTTTGGAAGCCGGTGGTCTTCCAAACGGGCTACGTGTCCCATCCAACGGAGTTGAGATTGCATCAGGGTGGTGAAGATGCTAGGTAGCGATGGGCCCCCGGCCCCAGAAGGATGCATGTTAAAGTTACGCACCCATCAGTAATTGAATATGGATAATAAAGTGTATGTGTACAAAGTTTGGTCAAGATCCATCAATCCATGTAGGAGTATTTGTTGGTCATTTATTTATATAGCTCATATAAGGAAAAAAAACAACGAATTCGGGGTCCCCGGTTACAAACGGAATGTTATATAAAGTTCATAGCCTTCCAGTATTGGATTCTGGATAATGATGGATATATGTGCCAAATTTTATCAAGATCCATATATCCAAGTAAAAAGCCTTTGTGGAACAAACAAACCCACAAATTTTCACTATATATATCTATATATATATATATATATATATATATATATGATATGAAATATGATTTGGTGGGATTTCTAACCCATTAACCTTCGTCAACACACCGCTATCGGGATTTTTTTGTTGTTAAAGTAACCTGTAAATTAAACGTCACGACAGGGAATCTGCGGTCCTTTGAAGGTAGACAGACCGCGGGATCCATGCGGCCACACCAAGAAGTGAAAAGACGGGGGTCGTGGTTCAAAGGTTCGCATTAGCATTTCCCTTACCTGAGATGTCAGTGTGTCGCGCAGAGTTCCCTGTGACGTCGGGTTAATGTGTCGCGCGAGCCCCCAAGTGTCATTCATCACTTAAGTCCGCCTCCTTAGAAAATATTTAAAAAATAAAAAAATAATAAACAATAAAACACGCTACTTTTAAAATTGTGAAAGAAACGCAGAAAAAAAAAGTTGGGGAAAAAAAAAATCAAAACAATTTTAATAACAATCAAAACAAATTGGCTTATTTTCTTTCTGTTTATTGCGTGTCCCCCCACCCCCCCCCCTTTTTATAATCCATTAATATAACAACATAAAGAAACATTTTTTTGGTAAGAAGTCCGAATAATTTTCGTGATCGCAAGGACATATTTCTAGGCTTTATGACTTATGACGTCATATATTTTAACACGACTAAAAATAGAATTTCGGTGCCAAATTTGATGACACAGGTGACTGTGGCAAAGTGATACAATTTCATGAAATATTGCACAATTCTTAGGCGGCTAGAGAGTATAATTACTGGTCTTGGAAGACAAGGGTCAACCATCTTGTGCCTTACTTATGTCAGTCGCTAGTTTTTTTGTTTTTTGTTGTTTTTTTTTGCGAGGTTTTTGCTTGGGGGGGGGGGGAGTTGCTAAAAGTAGGAAGGTGTCGGCTGGGAGAGAGGAGAATAAGAGAAGTAGGGGAAAGAAAATGGGAGGGGGAGGGTCAGATTGGCCTTAATTGATCGCCCGTGTCCCCCCTGAGGGAAAGGTCGCAGTGTACGACAATGAAGGGTCGCAGTGTAAGACAATGAAGGGTCGCAGTGTAAGACAAGACGTCGGACAAACGCGTCGTTCTTTGTGTCGAGAGTTTTCAGAGCGCACACTCTCTTCTACTGCCAACCTCTGGACTACATTCCCATGGAGCTGACAATGATAACAGTTGTAGTTGGCCTAATGGTGATGGGTGAGTGGTGGTAGTGTGAGTGGTAGTGGTGTGAGTGGTAGTGGTGTGTGTGTGTGTGTGTGTGTGTGTGTGTGTGTGTGTGTGGGGGGGGGATACTCACTGGGGTGGATTTTTTTTCGTTTTGTTTTTGAGTGTCTCTCTTTTCCGCCCTCATTCTCTCTTTCTCTCATTCTCTCTTTCTCTCTTTCTCTCTTTCTCCCTTTCTCTCATTCTCTCTTTCTCTCATTCTCTCTTTCTCTCATTCTCTCTTTCTCTCATTCTCTCTTTCTCTCATTCTCTCTTTCTCTCATTCTCTCATTCTCTCTTTCTCTCTTTCTCTCATTCTCTCTTTCTCTCATTCTCTCTTTCTCTCATTCTCTCTTTCTCTCATTCTCTCTTTCTCTCATTCTCTCTTTCTCTCATTCTCTCTTTCTCTCATTCTCTCTTTCTCTCATTCTCTCTTTCTCTCATTCTCTCATTCTCTCTTTCTCTCATTCTCTCTTTCTCTCATTCTCTCTTTCGCTATTTTTTTTTATTTTTTATTCGGCGATTTTGCTAAAACTGAGTTTCGCTTTATAAAAATTTTTTCTTATTACTTGATGTTCACATTCACATGCTTAAAAATACGTGTTCGTAACACATGTTCATAATACATGTTCACAATACATGTTCACAATACGTGTTCACAATACGTGTTCACAATACGTGAACAGAATACGTGAACACAATACGTGAACACAATACGTGAACACAATAAATATTCATATCATTATCATGTACGCGTGTTCCTGCGTAAAGAATTTATTTATATAACTGAAGATAAACAATAAAAATCAGTAGAAGTTCGTTCAAAATTGAAAGTGGTCATTTCAAGTGGAGGAATTTTTTAATTGTAGATAACATTTAATCATCTTTTCTTCTACCCCCCCCCCCCTTTTTCGCCCCCCACACAACTTGTTACAAACATGGAAACATTCAATGAAATGCTCTTCTTGTGGGTATAGTTTCGATACCCCGGTCCCCATATGGGTATATTTTCGATACCTGGTCCCCATATGGGTATAGTTTCGATACCCCGGTCCCCATATGAGTATAGTTTCGATACCCCGGTCCCCATATGGGTATAGTTTCGATACCTCGGTCCCCATATGGGTATAGTTTCGATACCCCGCTCCCCATATGGGTATAGTTTCGATACCCCGGTCCCCATATGAGTATAGTTTCGATACCCCGGTCCCCATATGGGTATAGTTTCGATACCCCGGTCCCCATATGAGTATAGTTTCGATACCCCGGTCCCCATATGGGTATAGTTTCGATACCCCGGTCCCCATATGAGTATAGTTTCGATACCCTGGTCCCCATATAGGTGTAGTTCCGATACCCCGGTCCCCATAATAAGTGTTTAATTGTCTATTCAACACAACCATTGATTCCCAAAATAAACTATTCTAAAATTACATTTAAGTCTGACACGAAGCCATCATTAATACGTTCAATGATAATGTGACGTGTTTGTGTTAGTGGACTTTGTGTGCTCACCGATGTGATATATTTATACAGAATTTCCACATCATCCATCCATCTCAGCCCAGATCTGCCTTGTTTACCCTCTGGGGTTTTGGTGGTTCACACTCTTCACTGTTCTTTCATTTGGCATCCTTTATAAGTGTCCCAGCCAGCGTAACCTACCCCTTTTTATTTCTGCTTACACTAGTGTGCGGTGCCTCATGCTATAGACTGTACAATTCATGGTTGGTTCGTATCCTCCATCAAGATACATCCTTTGTTGGTCCATCCATTTTCCGGAGAACTTTTCTCTCCCATGCGTTTAATATGTTCTCTGCCGTTTTTTTGTTAGGGCCATAGTTTCACTTGCGTATGTTACAACTGGTCTGATTACAGTTTTATAAATAGTTTAGTTGTTTTACTTGTAATGGTTTTACTTTTGAGCATTTTCTGACTACTGAAGCTTGCCCTGTTTCCGGCTGATATTCGTTCTGTTATTTATGCTGGTAATTCGTTTCTTTCATTTAATAAAGATACTAGATATTTGAATTGATTTATTTTTTTCAAAAGTCTGGTTTCTAATTTTAATGGCTTCATCTGTCTGTTCTTCTCTTAACATTATAGTCATGTATTTTTAAATTATTATTTTTTGTGTTGTTAACTTCCTGCCCTGCTCGTAGTGATGCGTCTTCTAATTCAATAAAAGATTTTGAAATGTTTTAACTACTTTTCCCTAAAAGTGCTATGTCATCAGCATATGCAAGATACTGAAGGGGTTGATTGTACAGAGTGCCCATTGGTAATTGGTCTTGGGTTTACCTCAGAAAGAATCCTGTTATTGTTGTTCAGGTGTCAATATGTATGCTTCTTATAGCTCTCTCCAATGTTAGGTAACATAACAAACAAGACAGTGAGTCTCAATGTCTTAGGCCTCGTCTAATAATTCCCTTTAAATACCCCCCCCCCCCCCCTGGAACCGTGATTTGCTCTATGATTTGTTAAATGTTACATGTATCAGTCTTATCAGTTTTTGTTGGGTATGCCAAACTCCTGCAGAGTATCATATATGTATTTTCTTTTGCTGCTGTCGTAGGCCATTTTATAGTCCACATAGAGTTGATGTTCTGGGATATTATATTCGTTAAATTTCTCTAATAGGCATCTGATGGTGAAAATCGGACGAGTCGTTGATCTGTTTTGTCTGAATGCACATTGGTAGTCACCTAGTATTTGTTCTGAATGCACATTGGTAGTCACCTAGTATTTGTTCTGAATGCACATTGGTAGTCACCTAGTATTTATTCTGAATGCACATTGGTAGTCACCTAGTATTTGTTCTGAATGCACATTGGTAGTCACCTAGTATTTGTTCTGAATCCACATTGGTGGTCACCTAGTATTTGTTCTGAATGCACCTTTGTAGTCACCTAGTATTTGTTCTGAATGCACATTGGTAGTCACCTAGTATTTGTTCTGAATGCACATTGGTAGTCACCTAGTATTTGTTCTGAATGCACCTTGGTAGTCACCTAGTATTTGTTCTGAATCCACATTGGTGGTCACCTAGTATTTGTTCTGAATGCACATTGGTAGTCACCTAGTATTTGTTCTGAATGCACATTGGTAGTCACCTAGTATTTGTTCTGAATGCACCTTGGTAGTCACCTAGTATTTGTTCTGAATCCACATTGGTGGTCACCTAGTATTTGTTCTGAATGCACATTGGTAGTCACCTAGTATTTGTTCTGAATGCACATTGGTAGTCACCTAGTATTTGTTCTGAATGCACCTTTGTAGTCACCTAGTATTTGTTCTGAATGCACCTTTGTAGTCACCTAGTATTTGTTCTGAATGCACATTGGTAGTCACCTAGTATTTGTTCTGAATGCACCTTTGTAGTCACCTAGTATTTGTTCTGAATGCACATTGGTAGTCACCTAGTATTTGTTCTGAATGCACATTGGTAGTCACCTAGTATTTGTTCTGAATGCACCTTTGTAGTCACCTAGTATTTGTTCTGAATGCACATTGGTAGTCACCTAGTATTTGTTCTGAATGCACATTGGTAGTCACCTAGTATTTGTTCTGAATGCACATTGGTAGTCACCTAGTATTTGTTCTGAATGCACATTGGTAGTCACCTAGTATTTGTTCTGAATGCACATTGGTAGTCACCTAGTATTTGTTCTGAATGCACATTGGTAGTCACCTAGTATTTGTTCTGAATGCACATTGGTAGTCACCTAGTACTTGTTCTGTGTACGCTCGTAGTCTTTTGACAATTATTTTTGTTAGTGTTTTTGTATGTAATATTTAATAGGGAGATTCCTCTGTAGTTTTTACACTAGAGTTTGGAGCCTTTCTTGTGTATTTTGGGTTATTAGTGCGCTTTCCCATTCTGTTTGAATTTTTTTTCTTCTTGTCAAATTTTAGTTATAAGTCTATGTGTCTGACTGTGTAGTTTAATATTTAATAAGTTCTGCCGTGATGAGGTCTTCTCCAGGGGCTTTGTGGTTTTTCACAGAGTTGATTTCTTCTGTAGTTTCTTCTGGGTAGAGGAGTTTATTAAATGGTCTTGTCCTCCATGTGGTGGTTTATAATCTTCTTCTTATTCATTGTCAGCCCAGATCTCCAGTACTTTACTATTTCCCGTCATTAATAAACCCGACTCTCACACATTTGAGGTCTGGTATCCACTCTTTTCATCTTTTTATCTTCATCTACATTCCTCTCATGTTTCCCTCTCTTGATAAGTCCTCTATTTCTTTTAGCTCCGCTTTTTTCCCATTCTCTCTTTTTCTTTCTACACTTTTTTGTGGCTTTCCTCCTGGCTTCCTTGTAGGTTTGTCTTGTCTTCTGGTTTCCCTTGTATCATGCTCATTCGTGCCTTGTTCCTTTCTTCGACAGTCTCTCTGAATTCAGTATCAAGCCAGCCTAATCTATTGTCAGGTTGCTGGAATCCTGCGACTTTTTTCTGCTCATCTTTTCATAGCTTTTTAAAAAAAAAATCCTTTCCCACTGTTCATTTATGTTGTTTTCCCTGTTGACTTCCTCCTGTGATACTTCTAGTTGTGCTTCTATTTCACTTTGGTAAGCTTCTTCATTTAGTAGATATTTGGTAAGCTTCTTCAGTTAGTAGGTATTTTGTAAGCTTCTTCAGTTAGTAGGTATTTGGTAAGCTTTTTCAGTTAGCGAGTCTTTGTTATTCTTTTTCAGTTAGTTGGTAAGCTCTTGGTAATCATGTCGTTTTTCTCTTTGATTTTGGCCATTGTGTATTAAGCTTATTCTATACTTATATTTAACCCTTACAAGTAGATGGTCAGAGCCTGCATCTGCTCCTCGATGGCTTCTTACGTCTAGCACGTCTGATCCATGTCTCCGATCGATTAAGACATGGTCAATTTGTGTGTGAGTGATTCCATCCGTTGAGTTCAAAGTAATTGTATGTATATTTTCGTGTGGAAACTTGGTGCCACTAACTGCCATCCATTTCCCTGAAGCAAAGTCTGTGAGTCGGATCACATTGTCATTGGATTCTCCACGCAGATTTCCCTTGCCAATAGTTGGCGTCAACACTTTTCCCCCCCCCCCCCATTTTGGCATTAAAGTCGCCAATCACTATTTTAATATCATGTCATCGTGCCTCATCTTAGATCCTTTCAAGTGTCTCATAAAAGGATTATTTTATCTGGTGGGGGCAGGAATATTTATAAATGTTATATTTAACATTTTCCCACGCATACGCAAAGAGCTCAATCTGTTATTTTCTGCTTTAAAACCTATGACTGCCACTGCCTGCTTCTTTGTTCACAGAATTTCATCCTGTTCCGTGAGTGTTAGTGTTGAATGCTATTTATAAAAACAACAATACTAATAATAATGAAATATTAATAATAATATTAAAGTTAATTATTAATAATATTATTTCATAGTAATAATAATAATAATACTTATTTATATCACATTAAAAACATTGATCAAGCAAACTGATAAATATACAAACACGATGGTAAAAAAAAAAAAAAAACGAAACAAAACATCCATATAGACTCTAGTCTAAATTCTTGAAAAATTAAATATTAATAATATTATTTCATAGTAATAATAATAATAATACTTATTTATAACACATTAAAAACATTGATCAAGCAAACTGATAAATATACAAACACGATGGTAAAAAAAAAAAAAAACGAAACAAAACATCCATATAGACTCTAGTCTAAATTCTTGCAATTATTGTTTTTAAAATAAATTTTTAGACCATAATTCATAGATGAAGAAATTCGTTGGGACAATCATTCGTTGAGACCATCATTCATTGAGACAATCATTCGTTGAAACAATCATTCGTTGAGGCAATCATTCGTTTAGACAGCCATTCGTTGAAACAATCATCCATTCGGACAATCATTCGTTGAAACAATCATTCGTTGAGACAATCATTCGTTTAGACAGCCATTCGTTGAGACCATCATCCTATCGGACAAACATTCGTTGAGACAAACATTTTTTGAGAGAATTTTTGTTGAGACAATCATCCGTTCGGACAATCATTCGTTGAAACAATCATTCGTTGAGAGACTCATTTTTTGACACAACCAATCGTTGAGACAATCCTTCGTTGAGACAATCATCCGTTTTGACGATCATTCGTTGAGACAATCATTTGTTGAGACAATGATCCGTGGAACAATCATTGATTGAGACAATCCTGCGTTGAACAATCATTTGTTAAGACAATTATTAATTGAACAATCATTCGTTGAGTCAATCATTCGTTGAGACAATCATTTATTTGGTACGATCATTCGTTGAGACAATCATTTATTTGGTACGATCATTCGTTGAGACAATCATTTATTTGGTACCATCATTCGTTGAGTCAATCATTCGTTGGCGAATACATTTTTCGAGCTATACATATTCTTTGAGAAAGGTTAATTGCGGTACGGTGTTATTTTTGTGTTTAATTGACACCCAGGAAAATGAGCGCCCTCTTAACAACTTATAATTGTTGTTATTTCATTCCAGACCCCCTCCCCCCCCCCATGTTATTTTAGTGCACACATTTTTAGCTCCCCTGGACTCACCTTTAAAAAATAATTTAATTAACATGATACTTAGTTTTGTGTGTTGCTATGGTGATTTGTGTGTTTTGTGTGTTGCTATAGTGATTGCTTGTGTTGTGTGTTGCTATTGTGATTTATGTATGTTGTGTGTTGCTATACTGATTTCTCCGTGTTGTGCGTTGCTATAGTGATTGTTGTGTGTTGTGTGTTGCTATAGTGATTTATATGTGTTGTGTGTTGCTATACTGATTTCTCTGTGTTGTGCGTTGCTACAGTGATTTTTGTGTGTTGTGGGTAGCTATGGCGATTACGATAGCCATTTTACTTTTCAAATATGTATATATTCCCGTCATTGTAGGGTCTGGTTGCCAGGCAACAGTTTGTGAGGACACAGATCCCGATTGTGCCAGATTGGACTTGGAGAGAAATATTTGCGGAAACCCGTTTGATGCCATCATGCATTGCGCCAAGTACTGCGGACATTGTCCAGGTTTGTACTTCTAGACCACGCATGTCCTTTAGACACGCGGTCCCCAAATGACGGTCCGCGGCAGACCTTTATCGGCCCGCATGCCTCACGCTGTCGGTCCCCATAACATAAATATTTATTGTTAAATAGAAATAAAAGTAAAATAACTAAATCATGCACCGGTCCGCTGCTTTAGATTGCACAAACTAGAGTGGCGGCATTTGTGGTGGGCCGGGGTTCATGGGACCCGGCCTCCTTCACCCCTGTTGCGTATTTACTTATATATGTCAGTTTTATAGGATACACGCTTGTTAAACATACGATATGATAGTTTCTTTGTTCTTTTCTTTTTTTTTAAATGCCACTCTCAAAAGCTGAACTGCCAATTTCTGGGCTGGTACCCCCCCTCCCCCCAATTCTAGCGTTTCCATTCTTGAAATGTTGTTGGTCTCCTGCTGACGTAGTCCTTCTTGACTCCACTGACATCTGATCTGGTCAGTCTAGTTTTCTAAAATCATTCAGACTCAATGGAGCTGTTATCTTACATCCCCTTCCCCAGCATCAGGGCCGGCAATCGTATCATTTTGCGAGGACAGTGACCCCGGCTGTCCGACCTACGCCAACCCCCGGTCGTGTGCCCTGGAGCTGACCAGAAGATCTTGTCCCAAGTCTTGTCACGTCTGCGGTAAGTTAGCATGGAGACACGAGTGGTGATGTTGTTGATGTTTAGTGGAGATATTGTTGATGTTTAGTGGAGATGTTGTTGATGTTTAGTGGAGATGTTGTTGATGTTTAGTGGAGATGTTGTTGATGTTTAGTGGAGATATTGTTGATGTTTAGTGGAGATGTTGTTGATGTTTAGTGGAGATGTTGTTGATGATTTGGCAAATGATCATCTTTGACTTGGATTTTAGAAAAAAATAAATAAATAAAACTTGTTGCCCCTCCCCCCCCCCGGCCACCACACACACACAAAATTAAATAACAAAACATTTCTTTCAATGAATTGTTTAAAAGCAATGAAACAAACAAAATGAATTTTCGAAACATTTCTTAAAATTCAAGGCAATCTGATTTGAAATAAATGTATAATAAACTTAATTATTTTTCATTGATGTTATAAAATGATTTCTGTCCATAATTTCTGGCATAAAGCGTTGATAGCTGTGTGTGTGTGTGTGTGTGTGAATGTGTGAAAAGGAGTTTGAATGTGAAGCGAATTTGGTACCGTGTGACGGTGTGAGTAGTGTGTCTGAGCACGGGTTGTGTGTTTCTGTGTGTGTGTTTCTGTGTGTGTCTGAGCAGGGGTTGTGTTTCTGTGTGTGTCTGAGCAGGGGTTGTGTGTTTCTGTGTGTGTCTGAGCAGGGGTTGTGTGTTTCTGTGTGTGTATGAGCAGGGGTTGTGTGTTTCTGTGTGTGTCTGAGCAGGGGTTGTGTGTTTCTGTGTGTCTGAGCAGGGGTGGTGTGTGTGTGTGTGTGTCTGAGCAGGGGTGGTGTGTTTCTGTGTGTGTCTGGGCTGTGGTTGTGTTTCTGTGTGTGTGTGAGTTGGGGTTGTGTGTGTCTGTGTGTGTCTGAGCAGGGGTTGTGTGTTTCTGTGTGTGTATGAGCAGGGGTTGTGTGTTTCTGTGTGTGTCTGAGCAGGGGTTGTGTGTTTCTGTGTGTCTGAGCAGGGGTTGTGTGTGTCTGTGTGTGTCTGAGCAGGGGTTGTGTGTTTCTGTGTGTATCTGAGCATGGGTTGTGTGTGTTTCTGTGTGGGTCTGACCAGGGGTTGTGTGTTTCTGTGTGTATCTGAGCACGGGTTGTGTGTTTCTGTGTGTGTGTGTGCGTACACTTGCTACACAGTGCACACATCTTCCACAACAGGAACATTGCCCCCCCCCCAAATCTTCTGCCCCCCCCCCATCACGTGACAGGCCACTCTGCTCCTAAAACTTCCCAAGTTTAAATTTATATCTCCTGGGATTGTCATCTTTCTGACACAGAAGGTCGAGCATTGAGATTTATGCCCGAAAGAGGCCTGTATGGGTTATGCTCTGACCTATATTTCTGTTCATGCCGGACTAGACTTTGGGATAAATTACGACTCTTATAAATTTAAACTACGACTCTTATAAATTTCAACTACAACTCGTATAAATTTAAACTACGACTCGTATAAATTTAAACTACGATTCATAAATAACTTTAAACTACGACTCTTATAAATTTAAACTACGACTCTTATAAATTGAAACTACGACTCTTATAAATTGAAACTACGACTCTTATAAATTGAAACTAAATTGAAACTACGACTCTTATAAATTGAAACTACGACTCTTATAAATTGAAACTACGACTCTTATAAATTGAAACTACGACTCTTATAAATTGAAACTACGACTCTTATAAATTTCAACTACGACTCTTATAAATTTCAACTACAACTCGTATAAATTTAAACTACGACTCGTATAAATTTAAACTACGATTCATAAATAACTTTAAACTACGACTCTTATAAATTTAAACTACGACTCTTATAAATTTAAACTACGACTCTTATAAATTTCAACCACAACTCGTATAAATTTAAACTACGACTCGTATAAATTTAAACTACGATTCATAAATAACTTTAAACTACGACTCTTATAAATTTAAACTACGACTCTTATAAATTTAAACTACGACTCTTATAAATTGAAACTACGACTCTTATAAATTGAAACTAAATTGAAACTACGACTCTTATAAATTGAAACTACGACTCTTATAAATTGAAACTACGACTCTTATAAATTGAAACTACGACTCTTATAAATTGAAACTACGACTCTTATAAATTGAAACTACGACTCTTATAAATTGAAACTACGTCTCTTATAAATTTAAACTACGACTCTTATAAATTTAAACTACGACTCTTATAAATTGAAACCACGCCTCTTATAAATTTAAGCAAAGAAACGGTCGAGCGGAATCCCATGATATCGTTGTGAAGTAAACAATGACAGGCGCGAGTAATCCCTCCATGAAAATGGGTTAAAGTGGCTTTCAAGGGACCAAATTATCAGCGTACAGGTTGCGTCTAATTCCGTTATACGAAACTAAAAAAAGTCGTTAAGTATAACATACTAGTTTATAGCTCGCTTAACTTAACATCGGTGACAGCAATGCGTGAACTTCCCATCAACTAAAGTCACTTGACGAAACATGAACTCAAGTAACGTACATTTAAGAATCCCAATTATTTGCTTACCCTCCCCCCTTGATACGCCACTGCACAATTTGTTTCAGGCCCATAAAACTATATTAATATTCTGATGTCCTACCCACATTTTAAACCGAATATTTATTACACCATATTTAAATTAAGAGGATTTCATTGTCCGAAAAGAAAAGAAAATATTACGCACCAAACGCAGTTGCGTTATTTAAAAACTAAAAATTCAAGTAAATGTGAGCATTTTGTGTAATTTCAACGCTAAAAATGCAATAATTATGTCTCTGAATTCTATTTAATAACTTTGTTCTGCTGTTGCTAATCAAGGATGAGTAGTTCTTACCGTTAATGCGATTCTTTTTTATAATCGAACATTTGTCTGCGAGCCAGATGCAGCCATCAATAGAGCCTCATCTGGCTCGCGAGCCATAGGTTCCCGACCCCTGATAGAAGAGATTATATAAATGTTATTTATTTATAAAATGATGTGGGAAATCTGGTTTGGTTGGTACAGCTCAAGACTAGAGGTTGGTTGGTACTGCTGGAGACTAGAGGTTGGTTGGTCCAGATGGAGACTAGAGGTTGGTTGGTACAGCTGGAGACTAGAGGTTGATTGGTACAGCTGGAGACTAGAGGTTGGTTGGTACAGCTGGAGACTAGAGGTTGGTTTGTACAGCTGGAGACTAGAGGTTGGTTGGTACAGCTGGAGACTAGAGGTTGGTTGGTACAGCTGGAGACTAGAGGTTGGTTGGTACAACTGGAGACTAGAGGTTGGTTGGTACGGCTGGAGACTAGAGGTTGGTTGGTACGGCTGGAGACTAGAGGTTGGTTGGTACAGCTGGAGACTAGAGGTTGGTTGGTACGGCTGTAGACTAGAGGTTGGTTGGTACAGCTGGAGACTAGAGGTTGGTTGGTACGACTGGAGACTAGAGGTTGGTTGGTACAGCTGGAGACTAGCGGTTGATTGGTACGGCTGGAGACTAGAGGTTGATTGGTACAGCTGTTATTACATAGATGACCCGACAAAAGAGACACCCTCGGTGTCAAGGGTATGAGAATCACTGTTGATAGTATGATTGCTGTTTGGGCCATGAGTTGTGCCATGAGCGTCTAATATTGTGTCTGAATAACCATTGGTGGACAGGAAAATAAAAATGAACAAGTGTGTGGATATTTGAAGGCTTGGGGTAGAGAGAGTGGTTGAGAGTTGAGAGAGAGAGATAGAGAGAGTGGTTGAGAGAGAGAGAGAGAGAGAGAGAGTGGTTGAGAGAGAGAGTGGTTGAGAGAGAGAGAGGTGAAAAAGGAGATCAGACGTTCGTGAGTGATAGCTCATGTGTTCTGGTTAGAATGTGTAGTCCATAAGAAGATACTATAACCAGGAGAATCTGCAGGACAATATACACGTAACTAGGAAGAACCTCTGGTCATTCATAAAGTGTTTGTGTTCCACTATTGGGTGTGCCCGGGTCTGCGCTGATCGACAGTGTTGTAGAGTACTATAGACAAACGTCAAAAATTACTGAAGATGCTCGACTGGAGTAATGGAGTATTTTAACACTCCGGTCATTTCACAGTTGACCTAACACAAGAGACACCCTTAGGTCATTTCAAAGTTAGCCTTACACAAGAGACACCCTTAGGTCATTTCATAGTTGGCTTGAGACAAGAGACACCCATAGGTCATATCATAGTTGGCTTGAGACAAGAGACAACCTTAGGTCATTTTATAGTTGGCCTGAAACAACCTTAGGTCATTATATAGAAGGTCCAACACAAGAGACACCCTTAAGTCATTTCATAGTTGGCTTGAGACAAGAGATAACCTTAGGTCATTTCATAGTTGGCCTGAAACAACCTTATAGGTCATTTTATAGTTGGCCCGACACAAGAGACACCCCTATGTCATTTTATAGTTGGCCCGACACAAGATACACCCTTAGGTCATTTCATAGTTGGCCTGAGACAAGAGACAACTTTCGGTAATTTCATATTTGGCCTGACACAAGATACACCCTTAGGTCATTTCATAGTTGGCCTGATACAAGATACATCCTTAGGTCGTTTCATAGTTGGCCTGAGACAAGAGACAACTTTCGGTAATTTCATATTTGGCCTGACACAAGATACACCCTTAGGTCATTTCATAGTTGGCCTGATACAAGAGACACCCTTAGGTCATTTCATAGTTGGCCTGAGACAAGAGACACCCTTAGGTCATTTCATAGTTGGCCTGATACAAGATACTCCCATAGGTAATTTTATTGTTGCTTGTCTCACTTTGCTGTCCCCGTGGTGTCATCGAATATCTTTTGACACACGGCTTTTTTGTGTGTTGAATGATCGTGTCTTTTATTTTGAGTGACAGGTCAGCAGGGGGAGACGACCACGTCACCGAGCACAGGCACTCCCCAGACCCCACCACCTTTTGTGGAGGCCAGGTTTGACGTAATGAACAGCAGACACGCAGGGACGCATACAGCTTTGTTGGAAATACCCGGTGAGCAGTGACCAGTCCCATAAGTGAGGAATGCCAGAAGTCTGTGTTCTGTCATAACAAAACTTTAGTCTTGTGTATGGTCATCGATGTCCTTTATGTGATGAGGCATCCCTGGTATGAGCGATTGGTCTTTATACATATTACAACCCCCCCCCACACACACACCCGTTTAAAACATGAATTTCCCCCCTCTCAGACCCCAGGTGCCAGGATGTTGACCATCACTGCAACAGTTTCATTCACCTCAATGACTGCATCAACGACCCCCTCACCAGACTCCTGTGTCAGCGATCATGTGACCTGTGTCCCTATGGTAGGTCATTAGTTAGGTGGTTAAGGTACTCTGTGACCTTTTGTCCCTATGGGTAGGTCATTAGTTAATTTGTACTGTGACCTATGTCCCCATGATAGGTCATTATTTAATTTATATTGTGACCTATGTCCTTATGGTAGGTCATTAATTTGTACTGTGATCTATGTCCATATTTATATATAGGGTAGGTCATTAGTTAATTTGTACTGTGTCCTTTTGTTACTATGATAGGTCATTAGTTAATTTGTACTGTGACCTCTCTCCCTATGGTAGGTCATCAGCTAAGACGATTGCTGACCTTGTTAAAACTAAATATATTATATAGGTTAATAAGTCAAAGATGAATATGGGTCAGTGGGCCATATTTTTAATGACTTCTTTGTACTAAATATAGGTTAGTATTGTAGATGAAGTGTGACATTTACATGTCATTTTTAGATGTTCGTACACAATTCATTTACAATACAGTCGAGCCCGCTTATCTCGACATCGGCTAACTTGCCAACCCTGTTATGTCGACTTTTTTTAAGTCGAACCGCCAAATTCTCTCTTTGTCTTAGCATTTTCTCCTTTGTTATGTCGATTCTTTATGTCGCCGAACCCTGATATCTCGAGCTTAAAAGGCGGCCAAATTTGCCTCTTAACCTCGTTTATCGCGATCCCCATGACCAATCGCCGGCTTTTGAACTCCACAAGAAGAAATAGCAAACAACAAATAAACATGTTTTTCATAATTAAAAAATAACTTATTCCTCAAACTACAGGACTTGTGTTATAGAATGAACCTAGAAGTCATTTAAATAAATCTGCTTTAATTCGAGGTTTAAAAACCCGGTAGAGTCCATTTTATTAATGATCATAATTTGCCGTGTGCCAAACGTTGTCATGGGCAGCCATTCATAGTCACTTGCATAATGGCCATGCCGTGGTACTACGTCAGAGTTTCATTCATAAGAGTTTGCCGCGTGCAAAAGCTATTAAACCATTGGTCAGGGAAAGCTTTAATTAAATAGTCATGTGACAAAGTTGAAAATTCAAAATAAGTCGTCCCTAAATAGTATTTTAGTAATATAGGGAAGCGTGCCTTATGTAAACGATATAGTTATTGCACAAGACACGATCAGCAGAATGACGTCACACAATGGGGAGGCTTCGTCCATACTAGAACATACCAAACGAGCTCGCACTTAAAAAATTCTTAGCCTTTAAAGTACTAAAGTTCAAAAGTTGATTCCGGTTTCATTTGTGTAATTAGAAATTTGCTCCAATAACTGTAATATTTTTTTTTAAAAATTGTTTGTTACTGAAGTACCTGCATTTATTAATGCAAATCATGTACATGTAAATATATTGCCTGCACATTGGTTTTCGATTATCTTGACAATTTTTGGTTACCGGAAATATGATCGAAAGAAATCTCGTCGACGGTAAATTGATCGACGGTAATATGATCGAAAGGAAATTTGGTCGAATCTATTGTTCAGTTTTACGTTAAAATTTTGTTTCAAATTTCTTTTTGAATGCACTATAAGATATTGTAAAGCAAAATAATGCGTTTTTACCGTCGACGAAATTTCTTTCGATCAAATTTCCGGATACGGTACGGAGACTTTTTGGCCAACCCCGAGGCCGTCAACATAACCGGGTTATACTGTAATTTCTTATGAAATGAAACTGATAAAACTTGAAATGAAACTGATAAAACTTGAAATGAAACTGATAAAACTTGAAATGAAACTTAGTTTTAAGAAGTTGGTTCTGTTTATCGGAATTCATTTTATTGATCGTTACCTTTGCCTCATTAAAACAATCTTTTCAACTGATTTTTTTATTTTTTTTATATGATGGCTTTCAGTTCTTGCATCCCAACTCGAACGTAAGTTAATCCCTTACGTACGTTATCTAATTATTTATTTTTTAAATATATTGAGAACTCGCGTGAATGTGAAAAAATATAAGCTTGTATGTGAAAGTGTTAGCAAATAATAATTACACTGAAATAGGATGGGGAATGTGGCTGTAAATGTGAACATTTCAAAAAAGATTTTTTTTCCCCCTCCGATTAATTAAAACTTAAAAAAAAAAAAAAGAGTGACGTTAAGAGCACAGCACTATTGATCATCTTCTTCCGAGATCATCAAGTGTCGGCTCCCCCTTACTACAAAATCAATTTTTTTTTCCGCCAGTCGATAACAGTAGCAGTGTGAACAATGGACTGACGTCATCTGACCCTAACTCCACAAACGAAAAATGTAAGTTTTCAATTCAAGCTCAGTGAGAGTCAGATGGCTTTTCCAACTTAAAGATTTGTTCGTAATAAATCATTTCAACAGCCTACAGTTATAGCTTTTAAAAAATACTGGAGATCAGATACAAATATATTGAGAAAATAAATTTTTAATTGTAAGAGCTACAACTACATAAAGCTAATTTTTCTAAAAGTCTTATACATGTTATGTCAGCTCTGAAAATTAATTCAAAAACAAACTTCACAAATAGCATCGTAAATGATCAGAGAGGATTGTCTAATGCAGCGGTTCTCAACCTGTGGGTCGCGACATTATAAAGGTTGAGAACCACTGGTCTAGTGATTTTGAAATGAGATGATTTGACCCTCCCCCCCCCCCCCCCCAATTTCATCCTGCGCCACGTGCAGTAAGACAATACATGTCTTTGATTTACTGTACTAAGTACATTGTCAAGTAGTGTGACAGATGCGGGTTGGTGGTGTGGGGGAGTAGGGCTGTGTCGGAGTAGGTGGTGGGTGGAGTAGGGGATGGGTGGAGTAGGGCTGTGTCGGAGTAGGTGGTGGGTGGAGTAGGGGATGGGTGGAGTAGGGGTTGATTGGCGTAGGGGGTAGGTGGAGTAGAGGCTTATTCGAGTATGGTTGGGCTGGAGTAGGGGGTTGATTGGAGTAGGGGTGGGATTTAGTGGAGGAGGGGTGAGTTAGGGGATGGTAAGATAAGGTGTGGGGGTGGAGAAGCGGTTGGTTTGAGCAGGGGTGGGGTTAAGTATGGGTTGGTTGGAGTGGGGGTGGGGTTGAGAAAAGGTTGAATGGAGTAGGGGTTGGTTGGAGTAGGGGGTTGATTAGGGGTTGGAGTAGTGGTGGTTATTAAGGGGTGTGGCTGGTTATTAAGGGGTGTGGCTGAAGGAGGGAGTGGGGTGGAGTTTTGGGATGGTGGGAAGAATGATGGAGTAGGTTGTTGGGGACACACGAAAAGGGATACACTGAGTTTGTGGAGAATCTAAATGCTTGTAACTCAAGTTTGAATTAGTATTCTGTGCAATGTCCCGACTCTGTTGGTGGGACCTGGTCAGTGATTATGTGATTTAATTTCATCAACATAAGACATAAGCTCAAACACAACACAATCAAACGAGACCCAAGGCCGCTGCCTGGACTACGATGAAGAGTGCACCGTCCTGGTCCCCTACTGTAACCGCACAGAAATGCTTGTCCACCGCCTCTGTCAGAGGTCGTGCGGCGCTTGTGACGGCCCGGCAACACCAACAGGTGAGAGGAGCCCAACGTCATTGTCAAGTCAATTTTTACGAGGGGGGGGGGCGGGCGGCAAGGAGGGGGGTTCCTTTCAGGTATAAAAATCATCAGGTTAGAAATTAAAATGTAACCATATAAATAACATGAAAACTGTTTATGCTGTCAACAAGAGGGAATAACTGCTAAGCGGAAAGCAGGGGCGTCATTTCAGGTTTTTACGAAAAAGGGGGATGGGGGATGGGGCAAAACCAAAACTTGGTCGGCTTGTTTTTTATTACTGGAGGCGCCACAGTACATAGCAATTTAAATAAAACCTGCAAATTCAGGAGGGGGAGGGTAGATGCCCCAACCTGCCCTACCCAAATGAAGTCCCTGGCTGAAAAAGGTTTCCATTTTCACGGTGGATCATCCATAAACAGTAATAGTAATAGGTGGAGGGGGGAAGTGGCGTGTAGTGGTAGATCCTAATTTTTTTTAAGATCTCACTTTTTTTTTCTTCAAAATTCAGTTTAACTATACCGGTACAAAAAAAAAAGCACTTTTAAATCAATAACAATGAGAGTTAATTGTAAAAAAAAAAAAAAAAAAAAAAAAAAACAATTCTAAAGGAGATTCTTGTTATATTTGAGGGGCCCACGATCAATTTGTTGATCATTCTGGATCCTGGTTTGAATTCAGAGTTTGCCTTCTCTTAGATGGGTTGCCGTCCAAGGCTTGCGAGTCCCATCCGCCCGGGATTTGTCATCGTGACGTATGACTGAAAGCCTCTTGGCCGAGGTGTCTACTTTCTCTATGTATTGTCCTACATCAGGTCTTCATCTACCCTGTCTATATTTCTTATTGCTTCGACCTGAATGCAGCCCCCTCCCCACCTCACCACACGAAGGCCAACTTTCAAAATACGATAAGGGGTCGTCACGCTTGGGGGGGGGGGGGGGGGGGGGGAGAATTTTTCACACTTTGTTACAGATTTTGTGGCGTCACTTTTTTTTTTTTTTTAAAAGTTTTTTTTTTATTTAATTAATTTTAAAAACATTCATATGAGGTGTAAATTGCCTCAGGTAATATATGTTCTATGAAACTCAGTTTTCTAATAATACTACATCTGAATCCATCATGGGGAAATGTTAAAGAATGAAATAAAATCTTAGTTTAGTCATGGAAATTTTATTTGTGTTTTGAATTTTTCAAGGTGTGACGTAACATTGTGGTGTAAAGAATTTGTGACACTTCGTGACAGGGGGGAGGGGTGGGTCTAAAAAGGTCATTTTTTAGCGTGACGTAATTTACGAACGACCCCTAAGACAAGAAATTCTTATTGAAATACTTTCATCTTTGAAACAACAGAAATACAAGGGAGTTTATCCATAATTTGATTTAACATTTCAACAGTCTTTTAAGTGTTGGACATTTTGAAACCAGCCATTTTGAAGAATGGTTTCTCTTTACACTATTTTTTTGTCTTCTAATTTCGCAGCTGCCTCCGATTCTGGAACCAGCA